TGGGCTAAGGAGTTAATTAGCGCTCATTGGGCTGGGCAGGAACAGGAACTGGGCTTGTAGTTAAAAACACCTAGACTAATTGGACTCATCTGTATCCAATAGTCTGCTAATGAGGGTGTGGGGGAAAGAGTATACAAGGAGAGGTGAAAGGGCAACAGAGACTTCGACCATCACTGGTCTCCTGTTGGTGCTTCATCCCCAGACCCTCTCCCTGTCCACGTTACTGGCCGGAGCACCTTCCTCTTGATGGTGCCCGTGCAACTCCAGCAGGAGTCATTGAAGACGAAGGCTGCCCAACAGCATTTTGTCATCATGGAAATTTTCTCTTCATGCCATGCAAATATAGTAGCCACTAGCTTCATGTGGCATTCTAGCATTTGGAAAGTAATTAGTGTAACTGAGTTTTAAAATTTAATTGACTGAATTGATTTGAAAGGCTGAGAGGAAAAGACAGGGCATGGTCTTTCATCCAAGGGTTTGCTCCCCAAATGCCTACAACAGCTGGCTGTGGGTAAGAGGTGAGACAGTCATGCAGAGATGCAGCCAGGCACGGTTCCTGATGACAGGTAAGTCTCAGGCCTTCAGCATTCCTGGGCCCAGGGAGTCTGTTCTTGGGGAGTCTGTGAGTTACTCTCTAATAACAAAGCTTGTTAGCTTTCACTTATTTAGAGAGGAAGATCTTCTGTTCGATGATTCACTCTAAGTGACTGCAATGGCTAGTGCTGTGCCAATCTGAAGCCGGGAGCCAGGAACTTCCTCCAGGTCTCCCACAAGGGTGCAGGCTCCCAAAGCTGTGGGCCATCCACAACTGCTTTCCCAGGCCACAAGCAGGGAGCTGGATGGGAAGCGGTGCTGCCGGTATTAGAACTGGCGTCCATATGGGACCCTGGGGCATGCAAGGTGAGGACCTTAGCCGCTAAGCTACCGTGCCAAGCCATGCACAATCTTTCTAACAGGGTAGAAGGTGATTCCCATAGGAATAAGAAAAAGGGAGTGATCATCATGAGAGAAAAACAGGCAGTGTTCACTATTTATTGTAAGAAGTTGGAGCGGGCATCGGAGCACAGCAAGTTAGGCTGCTGATTGAGATGACCATGTCCCACATCAGAGTTCAAGTTCTGGCTACTCTATTTCTGATTTAGCTTCCTGTTAATGCATCCTGGGAGGCAGCAAATGATGGCTCAAGGGCTTGGGCCCCTCTAGCCCACTTGGGGGACAGAGGGGGTTCTGGTTCCTGGTCCTAGCTTAACCAATCCCAGGTAATAGCAGGCTTTTTTTTATGACTTGTTTTATTTGAAAGGCAGAGTTATAGAGAGAATGAGAGTCAGAGAGAGGTCCATTTATCTGCTGCTGGTTCATTACAGTAGCTGGAACTGAGCTGATTGAAAGCAGGAGCTTCTTCCTAGTCTCCTACGTGGGTATAGGGGCCCAAGGACTTGGGCCAGAAGATTCTTTGGATCCAAAAGAACGAGAGGGCAAGTGGGAGAAGGAGAGGAATGTTTGCTGATTCAGGCTTCAGATGCCTGCGTTAGGGAGCCGGCACCATGGTATAGCAGACTAAGCCTCACAGGGCTGGATGCGCCCTGCACAGCGCCTGCTCCAAGGAATTCATTCTTTGAGAATTGCCGCTGCAGGCCAGCAGCAGCAGCACTAAAAACGACGAGGCACACTCTTGTGGGTCGGAGACAAGCCAGAACCCCTTGAAGAACCTAGATTTTTCTGCCTTTTGTGATTCTGCCTAATGAATGTGATTCTGGGGGCTGTGTGAACTCCAGGCCTGATAGTCTACGTGACACCTGGCAGGTCACGTAAGCAGACCACTCCTCAGGAAGAAGCTACCTGGTGTTTGATAAGTTTCACCACCCTATAGCTCATCAGTTTGTACTTTTTGAAAGTTGCTTGCTTCAAACCCACCAATAGAAGCCTGCTAAATCATGACTGTATAATTAACAGCCTGAAATGTACAAGAACTGGTGGGGCTTGGGGTCGCTTGCTCGCTCTCTCGCTCATGCTTCTTTTTGTCCTCACTGTGAATTCTGCAGCAGCCTCAGCTGCGGCTGCCCCTCTCCCGCCCAGCCATGCTGGGCTGGGGGAGGTGGCTGGGTAGACCTAGGCTAACCTGAATAAACTACCTTTATGCCTTAGCACCGACTTCAGACTTGATTATCTGGGGATTTCAAAATCCGGCACAACACCCTCACTGCCAAAAGCAGCTGCATTTAAATTCTCATCTCCTCTGCTCCTGTCCCCATTGGTCTAAGCTTTCCTCCGCCACTTCTCTGGCCTTCTTTCCGCCACCCTTCTTCCCATATTTCTTCCCGTACTTTCTCTGTCTCCTTTCTGCTACCCTTCTTCCCACCTCCCAGTCTTTCTTGTCTATCTATCTTCTGTCTGTTTCATTCCCCAGTCTTTATCCTCGTTGCCCCCCCAGTCCTCTGTCGTTCGCCTAGCTTTTACCAGCTACTTTTATATCGTTCTCCACCAATCACTTCTCCCCGTGGGTCCACTTGGCGCTAAGTGATAGGCCAGCAATCCCGGGGGAGGGGGTCGGATTAGCCTATCCCTGTGACTTCCTGTTTACCTGCTGGAGAGACCAGCTCCACCTCCTGGCCCTGAGCCAGCCGCAATCTCGCAATGGCCCTTCCAAACCCAGGAGCAGCTTCAGCACCGGCTCCCCTGAGAATTGCTTTTAGTTACATAGCATTTCAGCTCCGAAAGTGCAATTAACACTGTATTTATTTTATTGGAAAGGCAGAAGTACAGAGAGGAGGAGAGACAGAGAGGAAGATCTTTCGTCTGATGATTCACTCGCCAAGTGGCCGCAATGGCCAGTGCTGCGCCAATCCAAAGCTGGGAGCCACGAACTTCTTTCTGGGTCTTCCATGCGGGTGCAGGGTCTCAAGGCTTTGGGCCGTCCTCAACTGCTTTCCCAGGCCACAAACAGGTAGCTGGATGGGAAGTGGAGCTGCTGGGATTAGAACCGGCGTCCATATGGGATCCCGCCGGCGCATTCAAGGTGAGGACCTTAACTATTACACTATCATGCCAGGTCCAACACTGCATTTTTCAAGCTAGTGTCTTTGTGAACTGTCAAATGGTGAAGGTCATCTGAGATAAACTGAATTATCTCTGATCATAGATTTTTTTTCTCAATTAGACCAAGAAAAATGTCAAGGATGCCCTCAAGGACAGTGTTCTAAGCAATGTGACTAATAACTAGGAAACTATTGCTCGAGCCTCGCTGAGTTCTAAGTAAAGATCAGGAGGAGCAGTTTGCCATTGACTGAGAGCTTCATCAAATTGTGAAAAAGTATGCCATCAAAATGGAAAGCCACATATGCTATAGGAGCTGAGCCAGTAAAAATTTCCTTAATGAGCCCGGCACAGTAGTCTAGTGGCTAAAGTCCCCACCTTGCACACCTGAGATCCCATGTGGACACTGGTTCATGTCCCAGGCATCCTGCTTCCCATCTAGCTACCTGCCTGTGGTCTGGAAAAGCAGTCGAGGACGGCCCAAAGCTTTGGGACCCTGCACCCGAGTGGGAGACCCGGAAGAGGCTCCTGGCTTTGGATCGGCATAGCATCAGCTGATGCGCTCACTTGGGGAGTGAATCATGGGACGGAAGATCTTCCTCTCTGTATATCTGACTTCCCAATGAAAATAAAATAAATGTTTAAAAAAAAGAAAAAAAAGCTATTAAAAAAATAGAAGTGAAACATGTGGGATCCTGGCGCTTGCCAGCTAAGGTGTTATTTTCTAAGCTATCATGCCAGGTCATATGGGCGATGGTTTGTGTCCCAGCTGCCTTACTTTCCCATCCAGCTCCCTGCTTGTGGCCTGGGAAAGCAGTACAGGTTGGTCCATAGGCTTGGCACCACCCTGTACCCATGTGGGAAGAAGCTCCTGGCTCCTGGCTTCCACTGCAGTTACTTGAGAAGTGGACCAGTGGGTGGAAGCTCTTTCTCTTTCTCTCTTTCTCTGTATATCTGCCTTTCTAATAAAAAATAAATACATCTTAAAAAAAAAAGTGGGGCCCGGCGTGGTGGCGCAAGTGGTTAAGGTTCTCGCCTTGCACGCCCAGGATCCCATATGGGCGCCGGTTCTAATCCCGGCAGCCCCACTTCCCTTCCAGCTCCCTGCCTGTGGCCTGGGAAAGCAGTCGAGGACGGCCCAAAGCTTTGGGACCCTGCACCCGCGTGGGAGACCCGGAAGAGGCTCCTGGCTTCAGATCGGCATAGTATCGGCCCGTTGCACTCACTTGGGGAGTGAATCATTGTACGGAAGATCTTCCTCTCTGTCTCTCCTCTCTGTATATCTGCCTTTCCAATGAAAAAATAATAACAATAAATCTTTAAAAAATAATAATAATAAAAATAAATCTTTAAAAAAAAAAAAAGTGGAGCACTCCGGCCTGGAAGCTAGCATTCTAGTATGGGATCAAGGTATTCCCAATGACATCTTAGCTGCAGTCACAACTTCTACCCTGGATTTCAAAGTTTTGCATCAAACTAAACATATCTTTGTGTCCATTTTTTCACAAGTTTTTTTTTTTTAATTACCTTTGTATCACACCTACTGTATGCCAAGAGAACTTGGAGGCACAAGTATTACAAGTATCATAGAAATGTCTTTTTAAAACAATTCTCGACCATTGGGAGTCCTCGTATTCCTGATGCAATTTCCAAGACCTTTCCCGACTGTGGTGAAACAGAATGGACCAGGCAGGTGAGGGCCACTTCGAGGTTTCCGGCCCCGTCCTCACCTCTCTCTCTCCGATCTTCGAATCTCAGGGAAGCACCAGCCCAAGCCGGTTATGGGGAGGATGGAGGGGACCACAAACTCCTACCACCTCCCGTGTGGAAGTGGGGTGGGGGCTTGGGGCGGGGCCGGGCGAAGGTCGGCCCTCTCCCCGGGGCGGGGCGCCGCCCGCTCACCGCCTCCAGAAGCTTGGGCCGGCGGCGCCGGGCTGGGAGATTGCAGCCCCGTGAGCAACAGCGCCATGTATCTCCGCAGAGTGGTCTCCAAGACCCTGGCGCTGCCCCTGAGGGCGCCCGCCAGCCCCGCGCCGCTCGGAAAGGACGGTGAGTGTGGATGCGCCGGGCCAGTAGCAGCTGCACCTGCTGACAGCAGGAGCGTGTGGTGGGATGGAGGAGGGTTTGGGGCGGTAGGCTCAGAAGTTCGTGAGGACTCTGAAAGCGGAGAAGCCTTTCCAACGGGTCAGAATGCCGAGTCTAGCCGAGCTTCCTGAATTTCACCTGTCTCATCCTGTAAAATCGGGACAGCACCGGTTGTGGGTTTTGATCAGTTGGTGTGTAGTCTAAAAACACCTGGTTGACATCCTCGAAACCTGCCACTTTCACTACCTTAGGGGCCAGTTCTCTGTGTCCTCTGCATGGGAGGAGAGTGGGGGAGCACTGACCAGCGAGCCAGGTGGGAGCGAGCTCTGTAAATGCTGGTAGAGTATACGAAAAGGCAGTCTCGAGCCCTGTGAGTTCCTGGGTACTGAGCATGGCCCTGGAGAAGGAGGGAGCGAGCTTCAGGGGGCACCCTCCTTGGAGGTGGCGGAGGGCCGTGAGCGGCATCTGCCTAAGTTTACAAGAGTCGACCTATCCGTTTTGGATTGGAGGATGTGTGGGAAAAGGAAACGAATTCTGAAGCTTGCCGATGGCAAGGGATAGATGAAAGCTTCTTGATTTAAAAAAGTGGATGTGGATGTTCAGGACCTGGAACCTGGTAGGTGGGAGCACCAAGCCTGTTGTCTCCCCAACCTCTGCTCCTGCAGACCTGGGCAGCTTTTTAAAATTTAACTTTTTTTTTTTTTAGATTTATTTATTTTTATTGGAAAGTCAGATTGCAGAAAGGAGAGAAAGATCTTCCATCTGCTGGTTCACTCCCAAGTGGCTCCAAAGGCTGATCCGATGTCAGCAGCTTCTTCTGGGTCTCCCGTGTAGGTTCAGGGATCACAAGCCAGAAACTGGAAGGGACTTGGAGCGACTGGGTTACAAACTGGTGCCCATATGGTTTCCCAACCCCATGCAAGGCGAGGATTTTAACCACGAGGCCCAAACCTGGTCAGCTTTGCCCGCCATCTCTCTCCATCCCCCAAGGGCACTGGGCTGGTACTCAGCTTCACTTAGAGCTCATTCTGCCATCCTCACTGCCCGGCTCCCAGGCTGCCCTGATGGCAACCCCGGGGCAGAGGGATGGGAGGAATGAGGCATGAGGATAAAATGGGACCGGTGCTGTGGGCTAGGGTTCCCCGCAGTAACCAAGCAAGTGTTGGTGCTGGCAGTGGCCGGTCCACCCCACCCGCTTATCCAGTCGTTCACAAAGCTGGTGGCAAGAGCTCACCCCGCAAGGAGACACACATAGGCATCCTAGATCTGATAATCAAGAGCAAGATTTTGTTCACTGGTAAGAGGGAAAAACTTTTTATTTTGATACTTGGGAGTATGACGGGGCGTTCTGATGCAGGTAAGGAAGGCAGAAAGAGAACCTAACCTTTTCTGTTCTCTGTCTGCATTTCCCAGGCCTGCCACTCTCTCACACACACACACATGCACACATGCAAACACACACACACACACACATTTATGTGTTTTTTGTGCCTATACAAGGTTCAGATAACTTCCATCCCTAAAACAGAAGTGGATTACAAATCTGAGTTGGTCGTTGGCAATACTAGCCGTGACCGAACTGGTCTTTCTATGACTGTCCTTGGTTTCAGTAGCACTGATTTCTGGGATTTGAGAGCTATCATTTGGCTTTAATGGACACATTCTATGCTGACGAAAATGTAAGATTATTTATTTACTTATTTGGGGCGATTGTACAAATTATTTCAAACGCAGAAGGGCAGGGGTAACAGGCAGGCTGCATCCCTTCCCTGCTTTTTGGCTTCATCAACACCCCTTCTCCCCTCAGCCCCACTCCCAGGAGGGGCCTGTGCAGGTGAGGACTGGGGCCGGGCGTAAAGTTCAAGTATTCACAGTTCCCCTGTTCCCACCCAGCGATGACATGGTGCCTGGATCCCACCTCTGGGGTTCTGCCTAATGTTCACTGTCCCTCTCCAGATAAACCTTGTACCCCACTTCCCTGTACTGACAAAACAAGCCCTGACCAAGCAGTATGGATCAGCAGTGTTCAGCTCCCCAGGGACAGTGGAGGGGGCACTTCGTGGGTAGTGAACGATGGTTTGTCTTGAGAGAGAGGGGTGATCTAGAAAAGGAAAGAGCTGAGACCCCTGTGGCAGGTGTGGAGAGATCCAGTGGATTCCTTCAGACAGCACCAGGGTGCACTGACAGCCTCCCACTCCCCAAACTCAGATTTGCTGAGAGTCCAGCACTGTGGGGTGGGAACAGGGGGGAGAGCTGGGTGAGAAGCTGGGTGAGCAGCTGGGACCCCAGCTCTCAGAACCCACCCTTCCAAGAGAGCTGGGTCCTGGGGATATGGGGTAGAACCTCTGACTGCTATGCGTGGGCAGAGTGGTGGGCTCGGGGAGGGCTCTCTCTAGAGTGTTATAAAAAGCTAAAAAACATTAAAGTGGTTACCAGCCTCTTGCCCTGTTTCCCTCCAGACAGGGCTAGGGGGTTCCAGCCGGCTGGGGGGAAGGCTCTAGCCCCTGTCTGTCAGATGGGGGCCCCATTAGCAACGTGCAGTGTTGAGGCACCTCTGCAGCTCGACTGGCCCCTGGGCAGGGGGCCTCTGATGCTGGAGTGCCCACCTGCTAAAGCTTCTGTACTGAAGGAGGAACCCCTGAGGGGGAAGGGAAGGGGAAGAAACTTGATTTCAGTCCAGATGGGGGTGTCAGCAAGGATCCTAGAGGGTCCCCGCTGGGAGTCATGACTTGAAAAATATCCATACCATGAACTTGCAGAATAAAACCGCAGCCAGGGCCACCACCATATATTGGAAGGTGTCGTTGCCCAAGCTCAGGGCTGCCACTCAGCTGCGCTGCTCCGCGATCTACTGGATGATGTGGCAATCCAGGATGATGTGGGCCACGAAGCTGGTCGGTCACCTGGCCCAGAAAGCCTGTCAGGCCACACTGGTAGATGTGCTGGGCCAGGCAGTAGCTGAAACTCAGCAAGGCCACCACCCTGCCCCAGCTGATGCCACTCTCAAACAGGCTCGAAGCTATCTTGAACAGCTCATAGGCATTCTCCACTGTGGGCTGCGGCTTTTCCAGATGCTCTGGAAGTCCAAGTCATAGCGCTGGTTGATGTTGTCCCCAGTGATGGCAAGCTGTCACCCCACCTGCCTCATGATGCTGTTAGGTGCTGGGTGCCTGGAGGCCATTTCGGGGTCAATGGGGGCGGCTGCCCCCTTGGTTTCCTGTGCCTGCTGGTGCTGGTAAAGCACATAGCTGTGGAAAACCTCCTCTGAGTCCTGTGCTACCTGCTGCTCGTAATTGTGGGGATGTGAAGGCCCATTGCACCCGTTGCTGGGTGGGCCTGGGCCTTGCCTGGATGCCATTGTTCAGGCCTCAATAGAGGACAGGGTCAGCCCGCCCAGACTCCGGCCAAAGCCTCAGCTCCTGAGGGACTGCTGGTTGCTCAGGGACAAGGGTGTCCCAGCTTCCAGGAGTCCTAGGCGTCAGAGCATTCCCCCCGCAGCCTCTGCCAGTCCCGGCGCAGCCTCAGGAAACTACCATAAGACTACTTATTGAAAGATTAATTTAATATCTCATCAAACATGGTTCTCACCTCTTTGCTTTTTAAAAAAGATGCAGCATTTAAAAAATAAACTAATGGTTTAAAAGGAAAAGCCTTTCTGATAGACTAGAAAGTAACGTCACCTGTATATCCTGCCATTCTGTGAACATCACTGCTTTAGTATTGTTTTCTGAGCCTTTCCCCACAAGCATTCGAGTTCCTCATGTATATTGCTTCCATAAACTTGCAGTAGCCCTCTACAGAGTATTTTCCTATGGCCTTGTATCTGTATATTGTAAATATTTTGTCATATCAGTAAATATTCTTCTGCAAAGTCTACAGTATTTGTTTCATTGTACAAAAGTGATGAAATTGGCCTAATTAAATCATGCCCATTAAATATGTCCTGTTTTATTGTTCTTTTAGTATAACTTGACCATAATGGTATTGTTTTTTTTTTTTTTATTTTGTTATTTATTTATTTATTGTAAAGTTAAATATACAGAGAGGGAGGAGAGACAGAGAGGAAGATCTTCCGTCCGATGATTCACTCCCCAAGTGAGCACAACGGCTGATGCTATGCCGATCCGAAGCCAGGATCCGAAACTTCTTCCGGGTATCCCACGTGGGTGCAGGGTCCCAAGGCTTTGGGCTGTCCTTGACTGTGTCCAGGCCACAAGTAGGGAGCTGGATGGGAAGTGGAGCTGCTGGGATTAGAACCGGCGCCCATATGGGATCCTGGGCGCGTTCAAGGCGAGGACTTTAGCTGCTAGGCCACACTGCCTGGCCCCATAATGGTATTGTTTACTTAAGTGCCTGATAATGTTTTTATTTCTCTCAATTTAAAAAAAACTGTTTTTGATATTTCTGTCAGGTTGAACTATATGAAAGCTGGAAAATTTTTATTTGATCATTGACGTACTTTTAAAAAATACAGTATTTTTAAAAAAGATTTATTTATTTTTATTGGAAAGGCATATTTACAGAGAGGAGGAGAGACAGAGAGAAAAATCTTCCATCTGCTTCTTCACTCTCCAAGTGGTCCCAATGGCCAATGCTGAGCCAATATGAAGCCAGGAACCAAGAGCCTCTTCCAGGTCTCCCTCACAGGTGCAGGGTCCAAGACCTTGGGCCCTTCTCCACTGCTTTCCCAGGACACAGAGAGAGAGCTGGATGGGAAGTGGAGCAGCTAGGACGTGAACTGGTGCCTAAGTGGGATCCTGGAGTGTGCAAGGTGAGGATTTAGCCACTGAGCCATTGTGCCATTGTTCCAGGCCCAAAAATAGAACAGTTTTAAAAGATGTATAGATTTGTTTGAAAAGCGGAGTTACAAAGAGAAAGAGAGAGCGAGTGAGTGAGAATGATCATCTGTCCACTGTTTCACCCCCCAGATGGCCACAAGAGCCAGGACCGGGTCAGCTCAAAGCCGGGAGCCCAAAGCTTCTTCTGGATTTTCCCAGGCACATTAACAGGGAACTGGATTGGAAGTGCAGCAACTGGGACTCAAACTGGCACCGATATGGGTTCCCAGGATTGCAGGCAGTAGATTAACCTGTAATACTACAATGCCATTCCTTCACAGATGTATTTTTAAAAAACACAAATCCAAACACAAGTATAATTTTTTAACTTATTATTTTTCATTGGAAAGGCAGGTTTACAAAGAGAAGAAACAGAAATATCTTTCATCCACTGATTCTCTCCCCAAATGGCTACTATGCCCAGGGCTTAGCCAATCTGGAGCCAGGGACTTCTGTGTATGACACGTGGATTTAAATCCTAAGGTCATCCCCCACTGCTTTCCCAGGCCATAAGCAAGGATCTGGATGGGAAGTGGAGCACTTGTGACATGAACCAGTGTTCATATGGGATGCCAACATTTGGAGGTGGAGGACTAACCCTTTAAGCCAATGTACCAGCTCCAAAAATATTATCTCGTATTATTGTCTATTGTGATAATACTAGGAGATGACCATCAATATGCAAATTAAGAAGATAAAAGGCTAATCATGATTGTGCTGCTGTGAAGGTTTGTAACAGTGCAGATACTTCTAAATTTGTGCTGTAAAAATCAGAGTCTCACCAGGGCCTGCACCCATACACTATCAGGCCACTGCCAACAACTGCACTTCCCCAACACAGCGCTCACACTGTGCCTTCTTCCAGGGCCAATCTCCTTTAGTGGATCACACTCATGCTTTCTTTTTAACATTTATTTACTTATTTTTATTTGAAATACATGTTTTACAGAGAGATGGGGATACAGAGAGAGATCTTCCATCTGACAGTGTACTTGCCAAAAGGCGGTGATGGCCAGAGCTGAGCTGAGCCACAGCCAGGAGTCTCTTCTGGGTCTCGCTTGCGGGCTCAGGATCCCAAGGCTTTGGGCCATCCTCCACTGTTTTCCCAGGCCACAAGCAGGGAGCTGGAAGGAAAGTGGAGCAGCTGCGACACAAGCTGGTACTGACATGAAATATTGCCTTGCACACAAATGATTAGCCTGCACACTACTGTGCCAGCTCCAAGACTCCTTTCCTTTGATCTCAGGTCATGTTTCATTAATTGTGAAAACTGCTTTGAGCCAATTATTAGAAGGTTTCTATTTATTTAAAAAGTAAAGTTCCTGAGAAAGAGAGAGAGAGGTAGAGACAGGCAGACAAAGGGAAAGATCTTCCATCTGTTGGTTCTCTCTCCCAGAGTCCACAGCTCCCAGGGCTGGGCCAGGCTGAAGCCAGGATGCAGGCGCTTGTGGGTCTCCCATGTGGGTGGAATGGGTCCAAGTACTTGGACCATATTCTGCTGCTCTGTCAGGAGCATTAGCAGGGTGCTGGATGAGAAGTGGTCAGGCAGGACTCAAAGCAGCCCCATATGGGATGTGGGCTCTGCAGATCGTGGTTTAGAACAGTGTGCACAGTGCTTGTCCCGCCAAGTTTTTCTTTGCATTGTCTGCCAACATGTATTGCAGCATTTGTCTTATTATGTCAAAATTATTTGTCTACACTTATTTCTCTGGATGTTTGTCCCCACTTTCTGGATTGTGAGTTATTTGATGCTAGGGACCCTACCTGGCTTGTTCCCAGTTGTATTTTATTATTTGGGTTTTTCTTTTTCTTTCTTTCTTTCTTTCTTTTTTTTTTTTTTTCTGAAAAGTCAGATTTACAGAGAGAAGGAAAGATAGGAAAAGATCTTTCATCTTCTGGCTCACTGCCCAAATAACTACAATGGTTGGAACTGAGCTGATCTGAAGCCAGGAGCCAGGAACATCTGTCTTTCAAGTCTCCCACATGGGTACAGGGTCCCAAGGTTCTGGGTCATCCTTAACTGCTTTCCCAGGCCACAAACAGGGAGCCAGAAGGGAAACAGAGCAGGCAGGATACAAACCAGCAGTGCCCATATGGGATTCTGGGAGTGCAAGGCGAGGACTTTAGCCATTAGGCTATCATGCCCGGTCTCCTTCTTGTATCCTTAGTGCTTCATATATTTTCATATACATTGTAAATGCTCTACTGTATTTGTTGAATGAGTATATAAGTATTTCTATTTCATTGTCTGCATCATGAGGATTCTCAACTAAATGAATTCTAAACCCTTTCCAGTTTTGAATCCATTGCAAAAATTTGAATTCCAGGGCAATATGCTATTGTACAAAATCTAGTATTATAGAGTAAATACATATTTACTACATGGAACATGGGTGTTCCATGTAGGTGGAAGGGACTCAAGCACTTGGTCCATCTGCTGCTGCTTTCCCAGACCCATTATCAGGGAGCTGTATCAGAAGTGGAACAGCTGAGGCTCAGCACAGTGATTTATTGGGTAAATTCTCACTTTGTAAGCGCTGGGATCTCATGTGGACACTAGTTCGTGTCCTGGCTGCTCCGTGTCCCATGCAGCTCCCTGCTGGTGCCCTGGGAAAGCAGCAGAGGATGGCCCAAAGGCTTGGGATGCTGCACCCATGTTGGAGAACTGGAAGAAGCTTCTGGCTTCGGATCGGCTCAGCTCTGGCTGTTGCGGCCACTTAGGGAGTGAACCAGTGAATGGAAGAGCTTTTAGTTTGTCTCTCATTCTTTCTGTAAATAGGTCTTTCCAATAATAATTAATAAGTCTTTAATGAACAAGAAAAAGAGAAGACAGAAGAGATGGAGGAGGAGGAAAAAGAAGCAAAAAGGAGGAGGAGTGGAGGTACAGCTGTAACTAGAAGCCATGCTCAAATGGGAAGTGGCATCTCGGGGTGTAGTTTAACCCACTGCGTCACAGTGCTCACCCTGGCAGTTCTATTTCAGATATGACCTTGTCACAATCTTTGGCTAAAGCAATGCTTTACACACTTCTGTAAAGATTGAGCTTTGCTTTTCTATCTATATTTGTTCTTTAGCGTTTTAAAAGGTATGTAATTTTTATATATTTTCTTTATCATATAAATACAAATTTTAGTAATTTTTTTAAAGATTTATTTATTTGTTGCAAACTCAGATATGCAGAGAGGAGGAGAGACAGAGAGGAAGATCTTTCGTCCAATTATTGACTCCCCAAGTGAGTGCAACGGCCGATGCTATGCCGATCCAAAGCCAGGATCCAGGAACTTCTTCTGGGTATCCCACAGGGGGGTAGGGTCCCAAGGTTTAGGTCTCCTTGAATGCTTTCCCAGGCCACAAGCAGGGAGCTGGATGGGAAATGGAGCTGCTGGGATTAGAACTGGCACCCATATGGGATCCCAGTGCATTCAAGGTGAGGACTCTAGCCGCAGGCCCCAAATTTTAGTAAATTTTAAGTACAATGCATTTACATTAATTTTTGATTACCATTTCCATGAATCCTATAGTTGAACTACATATAGTAATCGAATTTCTTTTGCTGATATGAATCTCATTTGGCTGTCAAAGTTGTTTAATGCTTTTGTCATTTCTTCTTATCCACTCCTTTCAAGGAAAACATGATTCTAAACATTAAGATGACAGGTTGCCTAAGTACTTAACAAATTAGATTGGGAGAATGTCAAGTGGAATGATTACCTTGGCTCATGATAGTGTATTCCATCAAGCTGAATCATTTGATGTTAACAGATTCTAAGTTCACTGAGGAGGAATATTTTTGTATGTGGAAGCAAAAGGACAAAGAAAGGAGAGAGAGAGAGAGATGAAATGAGATCTTTTATTCACAGGTTTGCTCTCCAAGTGTTTGTATGAGCAAGGGCTGGGCCAGGCCAAAGCCAGAAGCCAGGGACTCTATCGAGGACCCTCGTGTAGGTGACAAGGAGCCTGGGACCTACACTTGCTGTCTCCAACAATGCACGTTAGCAGGGAACTGGATTATGAGTGGAGGTGGAACTCAGTCCCAGCCACTCACTCCACTACGGGATATGGGCTTCTCAATAACACACTATACCACAACACCTACCAAATGCTGATGCTGTGTTTAAACTTGCCTTCTTAGCATCTGTTCGCCGGATGTCATCTATCAAACTCCCGGGAACATCTGGATCAAATATGATTTATTACCTGGTGGTTGGTGTCACAGTCAGTGCTGGTGGATATTATGTAAGTATTTAAATAACCCTAGTGCTTAGGCATTTTACAATCTATGATGAAACTCGAAGCAATATCAAGGTTAGGACATGGGAGTCATCAGATACACAGGGCGAACATATGGTTGAATATCATTAGAATCAGATTTTCATAAAAGGATGTTGAATAGTATGAAGATTTTTCAAGCATAAAACATTTTCTAAAGGTTTATTCATTTTTATTGGAAAGTCAGAAATATAAAGAGGAAGATCCTCCATCTTCTGGTTCACTCCCAAAGTGGCTGCAATGGCCGGAGCTGAGCTAATCCAAAGCCAGGAGCCAGGAGCTTCTTCTGGGTCTCCCATGCGGGTCCCAAGGCTTTGGGCCATCTTCCACTGCTTTCCTAGACCACAAGCAGGGAGCTGAATTGGAAGTGGGGCCACTGGATTTAAAACCGGTGCCTTTATGGGATCCTTGGCGCGTTCAATGCAAGGACTTTAGCCACTAGGCTACTGCACCAGGCCCCATAACATTTTTAATACTACTAACATAAATGATTTTTATTAAAACAATATTATTATAAATGGTAATAATAATAGCTGACATTTTACTGTTTGTCATATGCCAGCGTCCCAGCTCATATAATAATTGTGGCAATTCTATAAGGAAGATTGTATTTTTAAAAACTATTTATTTATTTGAAGGACAGAGTTGCAAAGAGAGATGGGGGATGGGGGGGAAACATGCTCCATCAGCTGGTTCCCTCCCCAGACGGCTGCAACACCCAGGGCAGAGGCTTTTTCAGGTCTCCTACATGGGTACAGGGGCCTAAGAACTTGGGCCGTCTTATGTTGTTTTCCCAGATTACTAGCAGGAAGCTGGATCATAAGTGGAGAAGCCAGGACTGGAACTCGTACTCATATAGGATTCTGGCAGTTAGGCAGTGGCTTTCCCTGCTATGTCATACGGTAACCCTGGAAGATTCTATTTAGCAATAGAATCTTAAGTAACAACCGTTTTTAAAGACTTAAGAACTTTCACAAAAATAGTAGAATTTATTAAAAGGTTTTTTTTTTTTTTTTTAAGAAACAGAGTTACAGAGAAAGAGAGAGAGAAAGGAGAGGCAGACAGACAGACAGAAAGATCTTCCATCCACTGGTGCACTCCCCAAATTGCCACAACCTACAGGGCTGGGCCAGTCCAAAGCCAGGAGCCAGGAGCTTCTTCTGGGCCTGGCATAGTAACTAGTAGCTAAATCCTCGCCTTGTATGCACTGGCATCCCTTATGGGCACCAGTTTTGTGTCCTGGCTGCTCCACTTCCCATCCAGCTCCCTGCTTGTGACCTGGGAAAGCAGTTGAGGATGGCCCAAAGCCTTGGGACCCTTGACTCATGTGGGAGACTCAGAGGCAGCAGACAGAAGATATTTGTGTCTCTTTCTGTCTATAGATCTGACTTTACAGTCAATCAATCAATCAATCAATAGATCTTTTAAATTAAAAAGAATCTAAGAGGGGCCTGGCGCGGTGGCGCAAGTGGTTAAAGGTCCTCGCCTTGTATGCCCGGGATCCCATATGGGCGCCGGTTCTAATCCCGGCAGCCCCGCTTCCCATCCAGCTCCCTGCTTGTGGCCTGGGAAAGCAGTCAAGGACGGCCCAAAGCTTTGGGACCCTGCACCCGCGTGGGAGACCCAGAAGAGGCTCCTGGCTTCGGATCGGCATAGTATCGGCCCGTTGCACTCACTTGGGGAGTGAATCATCAGACGGAAGATCTTCCTCTCTGTCTCTCCTCTCTGTATATCTGCCTTTCCAATGAAAAAATAATAAAAATAAATCTTTAAAAAAAAAAAAAGAATCTAAGAGGCCCAAGTCACTTAAGTTTTTTGAGGGGTTGGGTATATAAATATAATATATAGCATATAATACATAATATATAACATAATATATAATACATAATATATTATACATATTAAAGATTTTTTGGAAAGTCTGATACACAGAGAGAAGGGAAAACAGAAAGAAAGATCTTCTGTCCATTGATTCACTCCAGTATCAACCGGAGTAGTGCCAATCCGAAGCCAGGAGCCTAAAGCCTCTTCCAGGTCTCCCACACAGGTGCAGAGTCCCAAGGCTTTGCACCGTCCTCGACTGCCTTCCTAGGCTACAGGCAGGGAGCTGGATAGGAAGTGGGACCACTGGGATACGAACTGGAACCCATATGGGAACCCAGTGCATTCAAGGCAAGGACTTTAGCCGTTAGACTACCGCACCAGGCCCTGGCTATATATTTTTTGAAAGTAATACCTGACTTGTTTATTTAAATTGTATACGTGATAAGTGAATAACATTATTGGTCCATAACTTCCGAAGTCTAAATTTGAGATCTTTTCTTATTAAAAAACAGTATTAATTTATTTGAAAGACAAGTTACAGAGAGAAGGAAAAGAGAGAGTTATCTTACACTCACTGGTTCACTCCCCTTATGGTCACAAGGGCAGGAGCTGGGCCAGCATAAAGCCAGGAACCTGTACCTACATGGCATGCCATACCCACTTACACCAATGGCCCCTTGAGATCCTTTCTTATAATAAGATTTTTTAATGTATTTTTATTTCAAAGGCAGAGTGACAGTGAGAGGAAGAGACAAAGACAGAGCAAGATCTTCAAACTATTGGTTCACTCCCCAAATGGCCACAACATCTGTGTCAGGACCAGACCAAAGACAGGAAACCAGGACTCCATCTGAATCTCCCACATTGGTAGTAGGAAACCAAGCACTTGATTCATCTACTGCTTTTCCAGTTCATTAATAGGGAGTCTGGCAGGGAAGTGGGACGACAGGGACTTAAACCAGTGACCCAATATGGAATGCCAGCATTGCAGTCAGAGGCTTATGCCGCTGCACCACCATGCTGTTGACCTTACAGGTTTGTTTTTTTGTTTTGTTTTGTTTTGTTTTGTTTTAATTCTACTCTGTATCTCACTAGGGTGCATTTGGAAAAGCTAGATCCCTGGGGCCACACATCAGTGTAAATTGTTCTAACATTGCCACCATCTCAATTCAAACTGAAGGTAATCTTTGTCCCATGTGCCTTAGCTCCTTAAGCAGTAAGACTAACATCCCTTGGGGTGTGGCTGCTGGCAGGCACATGTCGAGGCCGTGAACCTGTGTCCCAGTTCACGTTTGCTGGGCTGAGATCTGAGGATGCTGACGCAGCTGTGACTGTCTGGAGCTCCCACTGGACTGAGAAAAAAATCCTGTGTCTCCCTATGTAAAAAAAATGTTTAATTCCTCCTGATCCTGTTTGCTTTGCAGATCAAATCCAGAGCCTTCAAACCTGCCTTTATCAAACACTGGCAAATTCATTATAAAAGGGCCACTTTTGCATCATTTCCACCTCTAAGGTTACAGATTTTCTACTTTTATAGTCTAATTTTTATACTATTAAGTGCTTTTCTAGTTTATAAAGCACAATTTTTAGTAAGGCCCTAGGTTTCTCATTATTGAAGTTTGAGAAAATACAAAAGTATATGTATATAATTTTTTCAAAAAGGTTTTATTTTCACTTGAAAGGTATTGTTACAGAGAGTAGAGACAGAGAGAGACAGAGACAGAAATCTTCCAACCACTGGTTCACTTTCCAAAGAGCTGCCACAGCCAGAACTGAGGTGATCTGAAGCCAGGAACCAGAAGCTTCAGGGGCCGCAGGGCTTGGCCCATCCTCCACTGCTTTCCCAGGACACAAGCAGGGAGCTGGATGGAAAATGGAGCAGCCAGAACACCAACTGGCGCCCATGTGGGATGCTGGTGCTTGAAGGTAGATTAGCCCATTGAGCCACCACACCAGCTTTTTGTTAGTTTGTTTGTTTCTCCTCACCCCCGGCACCCTTTCCTCTCTTCCCTGACAAGTATACAAAATTTTAAAATCTGTTACACCTGTAAGAGTTAAACCACTACTAACATCTCTTTAAAAACTGAGATAATACATGCAACATTACCTGAATACTGAAGTTTTCATTTTTGAACATCATTGTCAAACAAAAGAAGACTCCCTCAAACGGAGACAAAAGGAAGCCTGCTCATGCTGTCTATGCTTAAGACAGCTTTCTTGCATATATGATTTTGCAAGTAACCCATAGCCAGGTTATATTATTGATTTTAATGACCAACCCTTACTTACCTGAAGAATCTTCATTAGCTTCTGGTGAAATGGTTTTCTGTTATTTTTTTTTCCTTGTTAGATAATTGACATTCACATACAGTTACAAGAAAAATACAGCAAAGTCTTACTTACTGTTCTTCTCTTTCATAATTATGGGATATCAAAACCAGGAAAAGATGCAAGCACAGATCTTAGTTGAATTTCACAGGTCTTACATGCATCTGTGTGTGTGTGGTGTGTGTGTGTGTGTGTGACTGAGTGCTCTGCAGGGGTCCTATGGGTACAGCTACGAACTTACCATCACCTCATCGCCGTCCAGATGGAGCTGCATCACCTCGAGGATTCTATGCCATCGTCTTCTAACTGCACCTGCTTCTCTCCTTCTCGCCTTTCCCTTCCTCCTAAACTCCACAACCACTGATGTCTTCTGGACTTCTATGTGGCTGTCAGTTCAAGAATGTTGTTACATCAGTGGAACTGTAGTAGTGGAACTGTGGCTTGTAGTCTTTTATGATTTACCTTGTTTTTCTTTTTACTCAGAATAATTACCTGAAGATTCACCCAAATTGGTGCGTGTCCTTGTTTTTGACGTTCATTCCTTTTTACTGTTGAGCAGTGTTCCACGCCGTGGACAGCACAGCTGGCTTAGCCATTCGTCCATTGTGGGCCATCTGAGTCACTGCAGTGGTGTAACTTGAACAGGCAGTTACCGTAAACATCTGGATGCAGGTTCTTGTCTGAATTGTGGTGCCTGTTTCTCCAGGATGAAGGCCTAGGGTGTCTGTAAACGCCTGTCAGGAAATGTTGATTGCATCTTCATTTGTTGTTTTCCCCCTTGTCTTCATATTTCCACTTACTGTGCATGTGCCCAGTTATCTTTGACTCCATGAGGGCACCTACTTCACTCCTTTTTAAGTGATTATGCTTAATGATGAAGGGTTCTAAATGGGGAGTAAAGGAGTAAACCATGTGTACTGATTTCGGTTCTTTGTTATTCTGAGGTCATAGTTTAAACATCTACTGATGATAACATTGGATAATTGTATGAACCTTTGAACTTGGCATGAGTGATAATGATGAATGTTAGAACTCAAGAAATAAATGTAAGTGCACTTTTACTTTCAGACATACAAGACAGTCACATCAGAGCAAGTTAAACCCACGGAACATATGACAAACTTGAAGGAAAACACGAAAGCAGAGTTACACCCTATTCAAGGTAAAGTGACTTGTCCAATTTTTGTTCATTTGGAGGCACCAATTCTCATCATCCTAGTCTAACAAAGAGTGCTGTTTGCTTTTGGTTTCTTTGCTAACTTAATCCAGAATGGCTCAGGGTAGAAGTTCATTCAGAAAGGAAAATCCAGCCAAGACCTAAAGAATGTTAGGTTGAGTTGAGTGCACTGGACAAATGAGCACATTTTGCGTCTGTGCTGCTGACGGGTGGCTCAGCCTGCTTTGTGTGGTGATGTTATTTCCCCCTGCTCAGGCATTCATTCATGCAGGCATAATTATAGGATCTGATTCCCAGCAGCCTGGCCTTTCACTGGCCTCATTATTTTTTTTTTAACTCATAAAATGAATTTGTTTCAGCTTTGGCCCAGACCACCCATGTGTCCCTGCCGAGAGTGCACTTGACAATCAGAGAATTGGTCACGGATACAGAGACCCTCAATTGATCCATGGCAAGCATGGAAGCAGAACTTTTACATCGTCTCTTTAATGTGTGTGATTTGCCTTAAACTGCTCTTTGGTTTTAAAGTTCTTTTGCATGCACATCTCCATTTTTTTTTTAAAGATTTATTTATTTTTATTTGGAAGGAAAATAGAAAAAAAGAGAGAGTTCCTCCATCCATTGACTCATCCCTTGGCAACGGCCAAGGCTGGGCACAGGGATCCCATCACTTGGGCCTTCTTGTTACTTTTCCAGGATATTAGCAGGGTCTAGATAGGAAGTAGAGCAGCCAGGACTCAAACCAGCACCCACATGGGATTCTGGCATTCACCAGCTTAACTTGCTGTGCCATGACGTCTGCCCCCAGGGACAGTATTTTTTTTAAAGATTTATTTTTTTTTTAATTGCAAAGTCAGATATACTTTGCAATTAAGAGAGGAGGACAGAGAGAAAGATCTTCCATCCGATGATTCACTCCCCAACTGAGCACAACAGCCAGTGCTGCGCTGATCTGAAGCCGGGAGCCAGGAGCTCTTCCTCCAGGTCTCCCACACAGGTGCAGGGTCCCAAGGCTTTGGGCAGTCCTCGACTGCTTTCCCAGGGCACAAGCAGAGAGTGGAGCAGCCAGGATCAGAACCAGCGCCCATTTTGGATCCCGGCGCTTTCAAGGCGAGGACTTTAGCTGCTAGGCCACCACGCCGGGCCCAGGGACAGTATTTTAATTAACACTCACAATAGTCCTTTGAAGAAGATGTGGCCAGTTCTTGAGGTTTTGTGATTCTTTAGTCATCCTCTAGGAACATGGCTACTCTGATGCTCCACCACACAGGAAAGTTAAAGAGGGTGCCTCTTTATCATAATGTCCTTTGTATTTGAATAGGTAATATATGCAATTTTTGCGAAATTCAAAAGAGTTCACAGAACACAGATCCTTCATTTTCCCTCCTGAGAAGCAATTAATAATACCAGGTCTTTGCAACATTCTGGAGACAGTCCCTGCGACCATAACATTTTGCTTTCCACCCGACCTTGTCCTGTCACGGATACAGCCTGGGCGTTTGTGTTCTTTCCTGCTTTTCACTTCACAGTATCTCTGGAAGACCTTTCTATATCATACATACAGATATGCTTTGCTTTTTAAATTGGTTGTACAGTAATCCATTGTATTGCCATGTTCTTTAAATTAATACTCTGCTTCATGGACTAAATCTTAAAGGTGAAAAAGAGAACATTGTGGAAGCTGAGGAGGCAAGTCCAGAAGCCCCCGATGTGCCTGTGGTGGAAACTGAGGCAGCAGGTGCTGAAGAAATTCCAGGTGCTACGGCTGCTGTCCCAAAAGAGGCTGTAGCAAGCCTGGATGACGTGCAGCCTGCTGTGGTGGAAACGGCCGTAGCTGGTGCTGAAGCTGGACCAGAGGTTCCGGATGACACCGTGGAAGTCAGCTCTGAAAGCATCCCAGAGGTTATGAATGCAGCCTTGGGCGAAGCTGTTGTCCCTGATAGTGATACAGGCACAGCAGAGAACACGGTGTCTGATGAATATGCCAGACCAGAAGAGGAAAGCCCTGCAGCTGAGCCAGAACTCTCGGCTGGGACCGATGTACAGGAGGAAGCCAGTGTGGTTTCAGAAGCCACCTCCCTGCAAGGATAGTCTCATCCCAGTAGACATTTCACAAAAGTGCCCCTAGAGTGTCTGACAGCAATTCTTGTAGTTTTAGTTGGCTGAGTTTTTCCAAAACACTTCAAGAAAACGCGAATGTGCCTTAAAGATTGTTGGAACGTATTGACAGAGTTTAGGATTGAGAGATTCGAGGCTTTCAGTGTTGAAAAGTTTTCTGCTTTTTGGGATCAGCATGTAACCTTGCAATAAAGAGCTTAAATAATCTCTTCCCTGAATTTAAATTGTGTGTTTTAGAAATGGAGCGTTCTGTCCACAGTGTATTCACTGCCGTTTTGCTATACCTTTACCTTTTCGCACTCTTTGCAGATCTGGATTATTGAGTTTGATTTGAACTTGTTTAAATAAAACTAGAAAATGTTTAGTGCTTCTACTTTTATTCACTTATACATGTGTGTATATAGCACATGTTAATGTATTACATGAACAAACTAAGCTTTTGCAATATTGTTGTAGGAATCTGCACCTATTACAGTTCTTCATCTCTGCTTGGTTCATGTCCCACAACCAGGGAGAAACACGTCGTGGACAAGGGTGAGGGTGCAGTTCATGGAGAGAAAGTCCCTCGAGAAGGGAGCCCTTGAGGGCTGAGTGCCTGGAAGTGATATAGGCTGCAAACAGGGATGGATCCAGGAGACGGATGGTTTTGACTGTCATTGGGTGGACACTCCAATTAAGACACAATTGAAACCACAGCAAATACATGAAACGTTTGACCAAGACCCGTAAAATTCCCATTACCTACACCAGCACGGAAAATCCTAGAGCGACATCCTTCCCAAAAGCTTCACTTTCCGTAGGTCCACCGAGTTTGTTCTCCAGATGGTTAGAGAGGGGCTCCGGGTTCCTGGCTGCCTCATCAAGCGCCCATCACTCTGTCATTATAGGGAGAAAGAACACTCAGTCTGTGAGGAATCCTGTGTGCCTCTCCTCATCTACGTTATACAGGGGGCTGTGCAGACAGTTTTTGGTTCATTCCACTTCAAATGATATTGAGGATATATACTTTGTGCCATGAATCAATTTTAAGTTCTCCCATGCTAATATTCTAGAGTGGGGCCAGTTAATAAACAAGGTAAATAAGAAAATATTTGTGTGTTAGATGCTGAATGTTTGAAATAAAAGTAATGAGAATTCTAAATGTTAGTTTGGCATCAAGTTGGAATTCTAGGTAGGACAGAAAGAACCTTTCTATTTGGTGGCCTTAGCAGGTAAGACACCAATGCGCCATCATATCCAAGTGCCTGCTTCTGCATCCCAGCTTCCTCCTCACGTGGACCCTGGGAGGCAATGGTAATTGCTCAAGTGATTGGGTTCCAGCCACTCACGTGGGAGAGCTGGCTCTTCACTGTGGCACCCAGGTCAAGCCAAGTCATTGTGAGTACTTGGATGGAGAACCAGCATATGGGAGCTCTCTCTCTGTATCTTTGTCTCTCAAATAAATAATTTTTATAGGGCACCTAAAGGTGGGGAAAGCATTGTGGTGCAGGAGATTAAGCCACTCACTCCCTGTTTTGCCACCATCCCAATATCAAAGTACTTGTCTGAGTTCCAGCTGCTTTTCTGCTGATCCAGATCCTTGTATATATTCCTGGGAAAACAAGAAAAGTGAATACGATTACTGGGGTCCTTACCACATACTCGGGAGCCCGGTATGGGATTGCTGAGTTGGGCTTTGATGTGGCCCAGCCCTGGCTGTTGGGGCCATTTGGAGTGAACCAGTGAATGAAAGACTTTCTCTATCTCTCTCTCTCTTTTTGCTTGGGCTCTTTCTGTATGTCACTCTGCTTTACAAATGAATAAAACTAAATTAAAAAAAAAAAAAAAACAGAAACAGATACCTGGGCCTGGTGCGGTGGCCAGGCAGCTAAAGTCCTTGTCTTGAAAGCACAGGGATCCCATATGGGCGCCGGTTCTAGTCCTGGCAGCTCCACTTCCCATCCAGCTCCCTGCTGTGGCCTGGGAAAGCAGTTAAGGACAACCCAGGGCTTGGGACCCTGCACCCATGTGGGAGACCTGGAGGAAGTTCCTGGCTCCCGGCTTTGGATAGGCGCAGCACTGGCCATTGTGGTCACTTGGAGAGTGAATCATCAGACAGAAGATCTTCCTCTCCTCTCTGTATACCTGACTTTGTAATAAAAATAAATACATATTTTTAAAAACCAGAAAAACCAAAAATGATCTCAGAGAAAAAGTGATTAGACAGGATCCTGTAGAGCTGAGTTAGATCAAGTAAGACTGGCTCTACTTGAAGTAGGTTGGGAAACTGTAGTGGACACTGCTGATGCTCTCCGCTGGGTGCATCTACTCTGAGCTGCTGTTAGGAGTGTCACACACACACACACACACACACACACACACACTCCATCCCCGCTCTCACCCCAGACAGTTCACAGCCAATGACTGACTACTAAGTGGTCCCAGAGACCAGTCTGCAGTGTAATTCATGCTCCAGAACTTTCCAACAGTCACCTTGAAGCTGGTCTCTGGCTGGGATTACTGCCAACCCCTGCATTCGGGAGCAATGTGATTATTAAGATTTTTACTCCTGGCCAATGGGGACAGAATGTAGGCAGCAGGCAGGATGCTGGCTAGCTTAAATCCCTGGATTTGAGAGGCAGAGAAACAGTGTAAGAACTTAACCATGACTCTAAAGACGATAGCTTGTATTTGCTTTGAATCTGTCTCAATATCAGCTCTGCCCTAGATTCATCAGTGTGAGAGGTCTGTGGCAGAGTTAAAGGGATGCAGATCTGCTAAACGCTCCGTGCGATGGAACAGAAACATAACCTGCTCCCACAGCTACGGAGCTCATGCGCACGCACACACGCAGGTGCAATCTCCACTGCCACGGTTGGGGTAGCTTCTGCCACAAACAACAGGCAGCAACTCAAAACGGATAACACAACACAGCTACTTATTACATAAGTAAATATCTGAGGCCACTTAATGCCACACCCAGGGATGAAAAACCAGGTTGTTTCTATTATCCTGTTCTATGAGCAACGATGCTTGATTTTATCCTTGGCAGGCTTTCCTCATAACTACAGGATGAATTGTCATTCCACAAATTCTACTCAGCCACAATAATGTCCAGTAGAAACTTCTCAGATAAAAAGCTTTCTCATATATCTACGCACACACACATATATACATATATAAGCACACGCATGTATATTTTAAAGATTTATTTTATTTATTTATGATTGACATAGTCCATCATAGCTGAGATGGTTGGTTGACCTGTCCTGTCTTCTGTCTTTTCTTGGTAAGGGTTCTGAGTCCGGCAGTTTGATTAGGAAGATCTCCAAAGAAACTTTGTCTGAGGTGTTCTCAGACCAGATTCTTGTATGTGCTAGCAAGCACAGGGCCCGGCACAGTCCATCACCATGATCAGCTGATGGACTATGTCAATCAGTGGATTTTTCAAAGACCTCATAGTGCTTGGAGTGGCAAGATTGGCAGTGATTCATAACTGTTGAAATATCAAAACCACTTGAGCAAGAACCTCAGAGTATACCCTACATCAGGGACCTGGGGAGGGTGGGAAATTGGGTGAGCCTTCTCCCTTAATACTCCCTTTTAAACATGAAGGTAACAATATGGAAAAAATACTAGTCTTATCCACTTTCCTGTAGCCCTTGAACCTTTTTACCCTAATTAACTATGTAAAGATTGTCAAAATAAAAAAAAAATAAAGAAAAAAAGTTTCAACACAAAAAGATTGGCAGCAGAATCAGATACATGAATTATTTATCTTTCATAACAGAAGGTGAAGTTTAGAAAACATGATACACTTTTCATGAGATGCACATGAGATTTAGATGTTATATTTAAAAAGTATACAGACCATCCCAAAGCAAGCATCTGCAATAATTATTTGTATCTGCCTTTTGAATTGCCAATTTTCTGTCAGCCTGTACAGTGAATCCCAGAGCCAACACTGAGGTCAGTCTGCATTCAGGGATGATTAGGTTCTGAATGTGTTAGTAGTTTTGGTGCCAACTATTTATTCTGTCTGATAGCATCCAGTGACTAAAAGCAACACTGACCAGTGCAATAAAGCATATTATATAACATTTCTTTCCAGTTTTAAAAAAAGATCACCAAAGGAATTTTAAGGAAAAAAACCATTTTCTTTAGCTTTTTGGTGTACATTTTTAATTAATAAATTGGGAGAATTCTAAAAGTTAAATATTATTATTTGAATTTTTCTCATGGGTAGGTGATTTCAATTAATCATTCTCCAAATTAATTAAGTTAATACAAAACTCCATTTTGGAGCAAACATTTGGCCTAGCATTTCAGGTGCCTGCACTCGGACAAGGCACCGTGACATAGTAAGCTAAGCCTCTGCCTGAGGCAGCAGCATCCCATATTCATGGGATGATTCATGTCCTGGCTACTCCACTTCCTTTTTCAAAAAAAATATGTTATTTGTTTTTATTGGGAAGTGAGATTTACAAAGAGAAGAAGAGATACAGAGAAAGATCTTCCATCTGCTGGTTCACTTTTCAAGTGTCTTCAATGGTCTGAGCTGAGCTCATCCAAAGCTAGGAGCAGAGCTTCTTCTGGGCCTCCCACATGGGTGTAGGGTCCCAAAACTTTGGGCCATCCTCTAATGCCCTCCAGGCCACAAATAGGGAGCTGCCGGGAAGTGGATCTGGGACATGAACCGGCACTTATATGGGATCCCAGAGTGTGCAAGGTGAGGATTTAGCCACTAGGCTATTACACAGGGCCCATCGACTACTCCACTGCCTATCTAGCTTCCTGCATATGATCCGGGAAAGCAGGGGAGGATGGCCCAGGTTCTTAGGCCCTTATACCCACATGGGATGCCCATAAGGTCCTGGCTCCTTGCTTTGGATTGGTTCAGCTCAGGGTGTGGTGGCCAACTGGAAAGTAAAGCAGCAGACAGAAGATTTGTCTATGCGTATCTCTCTGTAATTCAGCTTTTCAAATTTTTTTTTTTTTAAAAAAAGGATCTTAAAACCAAAACCAAATCAAAACAAAACAACAGATCCCTGCACTTCACATGAGAGTACTTGGGTTAAAGTCCCTGCTCTGGATCCTGACTCTAGTTTCCTGCTAATGCAGCCCTGGGCAATCAATGGCAGTTGCTCAAA